TCGAGGTAGTGTTGGCCAGCATGCATTGAGGGTCCGGCCCGGACAGGCGACATGTTTCTTGATCCCGCGGCATAGAAAACGTCCAAGGCCGAATGGCTAGCCGGAACGGAATGTGAAGGTCCCGTATCTTCGCACCCGAGTATCGTCACTCGCATCAAATGAGCGTCACCTGAGTGGCGCCTGGAGCCAGAGCATATCTTGCTTGATTCGGCTCCCTTGGATTCGATGCCGTCATGTGGAATTGGATGGGGTTGAATCAGACGCTGATCGCATGGCCTGCATCAGTGCGGAAGAGAGGAAAGCATCTTAGGGGCCAAAAAGCGCGCAGCCGCGGGCTGGCTGCGACCCAGAAGCCCGGGTCAGGCAGCAGAAGGCCGTTATTGCGACGGGTTCTAGGTTGACGCAAAGCGAAGGGTAAGCGAAAAGAGACGCGTCGAAACGAGGGTGACAGAACGGGGAGGTCGCTGGGGGATCATGGTGGGAGGAGCTTGGCTGCCGTGACGTAGGGGGACTAGCGCTGCGGCCAACGAGCCGACATGGCTCGAGCCAGATAAGACCAGGCCAGACGACCAAACAATAAGCGCCCATGACGACGCTATGCGACTAGTCTTTGGAGTAGACGGGTAAGTTGCAGAGACAACTTCCAGGGTTAATATGTGATGTGGGTCGCGAGCCATGTGTGACATGGCAACAACACTCCAGCATCGCATGAGTAACAGCCGCCTGCTGTCCTTGTTGCCGTAGCTGCTCCGGACTAACCCTGAACTGAAGTGACAGGTAACAATATAGCCTGCAAAAGAGCATCCTGCGTCTAATTAGTAGCACCATGGGCCCGTCCGCGAGCTGCATCGCCGTGCCACAGCCCCAGCGTGTCGTTGGCCAGTCAGGTGCGGCCTGCGCGAAATCTCTCACAGCAAGGGCGCTTAATATGCACAGAACCTGCAACATTTCACAAACAGATCACATCCATGTAGTTTTAGCCTGCTTGACAAGGGCCGCGCTTCGTGGCTTGCGGTAGTGATCCCCGGTGTATCCCCGACGCAGGTGGGTTGTACAGAAAGACGTTATGGGCAGTGCCGGCTTATTGCAACCAGTCTGTAGGAATCGATCTCGGTGGCGTCCTTGAAGTCACCCTGGACCGCCAAGGCGTCACGCTAGACGAGCTGTTGATGATTTGAGTTTTCTGCATCACAGAAGAGTCCTGAAGCAGTTGCAAACAAGCGTGATCATATTCGCATAGGAAACGAGAGGGCCATCATGCGATGAAGCTAGGCAACCTCACTACGTAACTGCAGTCTGTCTATCGCTCTCACATTCCTTGGAGCGCACCAAAACGCCGTAATACAGATGCCCACCCACGCAGTACAAACAGAATCTTCAAATCAATCAGCAATAAGAATCTCCATCTCCCATAGTATAAGCTGTGATAAAACCAAATCGCTTCGAGCATGCTCCTCCGTGCCGTATATGCCAACTGCTTCGTTATCCCAAGCTCCAGCGATCGAGTAGGAGTCGCGTGGCAGCTGAGTCCGATCTGCATTAGAGTTTCGAATGTCCGTACGTTGTGTCTTCCACCGACACCTGATTGCGGCTGGGGCACCCATCCGTCTTATGTCTAAGCATTTATTAGGGAGATGAAAGGAACAAGTGCTCGAATCGTTACTGACCTACTGAGCGTGTCTTTGCGTGGAAAAGCAGCGGCGCACTTGGGACATACGTGTGGTCTGACGTCCGTATGCACGCTTTGATCGTGTCGAGCTAGATCGGTCTTGCGCACAAACTGTTTTCCACACTCAGGGTGCGGGCAGATATGCGCCCTCTGGCGATACGAGTCATGCGTGAGCATGTGTTGTCTGAGGTTGTATTTCCTTGCGAAGCCCCTCTCAGGGCAAAGCTCGCAATGAAATGCAGCCTTAGCAGGGTCAGTGTGTCTACGATTGCGGGCCCGTCTGCGGTTGACCAACGACGCTGTGTTGGCATACCGGGTGGTTTGTGCAATCTGGGCTTGTGGGCTACTACGACTGGCCATCAAAGGTGTCCTTTCGTAAGTACGGCCATCGCAGCTGTACATCGGCGCAGGCTCGTACTTAGACATGACAGGCTCTGGGTATGTATGCTCGTACGGATACATATTCGAGCTGAGCCGCTCTGGGGCTACGGTAAGTGGTTGCTGCCCCGACGGAGGTCCACTCATTGTGACTGGCGCTTCTGTACCGTATCCAATATGAACTGACGAATTCCATGAAGAAGCCTCCATCTTCAAATCAGGGTACGCCGAGGGCTTTGGGCCACTGGGCGAATAGGCGGCAGAAGACATGGCGCGCGGGCTGTATAGTGGTGGTGATGTGGGAGGTGAAGGTTGAGCGGAACTCCACGGCACTGGCGAACGAGAGACTGGATGGTCGAAAGCTCCTGAAAGATACGGCTCTACGATAGGCTCTGCAGAGGCATCGTTTGAATAATGGCCACCCCAACTTTCTGATGGTTGAGGTGATGGAGGCAGAGCGTTTTGTACTGATTGTACTTCATATAGACCAAGACCGTGTGTGTAGTTCGGTCGCGACTCCTGTCGCCCTGGTGAAGGATAAGGCGATTCAAGTAGGGAGCCTGTCCGTGACGTGTGTTGTTGGTAGGGCGAGTTGAAGGGTGGCGTAGGCTGGTCCGCGTACGAATACATGATGAAAGGATATGGAAGGGATTGATGCAAACCGCGTACTAGGTCTTTGAAGTTGAATAGTTTGGCGAGGAATGAAGGTAGGCAAAGATAGGAATGATGTGGTAGAAGCTGGGTGAGGATTCCAGCTGCAGGGCGTTCCGGGACGAGTTATATCTGTTCGATGCAAGATGCAACTTAATCCAAGATGGAACCGATTTGTATGCTGCGCCAGTGCGTTCTCAAAGAGTACATCCAAACAGTGGGCTTCTGGGTGTTAGGCAGATTCTGAAATTATGTTAGACCGCGCAGCATGAACAGGGAGCTCGAGCCGCCTACGCGGCAGGCGCCTGTTAGCTTCATGGGGCTATGAAAGAGTGGCAGGGGCGGAGGATGCTGGCTCGACTAGGGTGAGTGGGTAAGTGAACCAGACGGTCGGGTAGCTAGACCTTAGCGGGCCGAACACAGCATCCTTGCTCCGACCGGAGCTTGAGGCGCAAGAGGAGAGGGAGGCCGTACCCTTGCTCGATGTGCATCCCCATGAAACTGCCCAGTCTGGTGAAGGATGTCTTTCCTGCATCTGCCGTTGATCATTCAATGAGGTGTGGCCCCGACGCCGTTGTTACTGTGAGACACCAACATCTCATTTCCATACACGCTTGTTTGAGTAGCTTTTGAGACGGACAGATATCATCATCTTGATTTTTAACCGGATTCACGGTGCTCGTACCTAGCAGAATGTACCTATGTTCCCGCGGCTGCAAGCGCCGGCCATCAAGCGACCGATGTGCTCGCTTCGCGTTGCTGTTGGGCCTGTGACACCATCGCAGTAAGTTCTTCAACTTGCGCCGAAAGCTTGAGGACTAGTGTCTTCAACTGAGCATCTGTTTCTGTAAACCCTGCTGGAGCCTGATTCTTGTGGGGCCTCCTTCCAAGCATATTTGGTGCATCTGCCATCAGTAGGCGTGGCGAATTGACAGGCAGCCGGAGAGCCCTTCTAGGCAGCGTAGGTGTTTGCGGTCCACTGAAGGACGTCACTTTTACACGGCGATTCCGGGTGTCGGTAAGTTGCTCAAAAGCCCAGATTGCAGAGACGAGAGGTAAATGCGTAGCCTTCAGTAAGACGATCCGAACGCTCCTAAGCCGCTCCGAGGGCAAAACGAGCCGCAAAGGTCGAATGACTAGCGGGATGAGGTTCTGGAAGCCGGTCAGCCTTGCAAATGGCGGGCACAGTCACAAGTTCCAATGCATCGTGGGTTTGCAGGGGTTCACTGCGTCCTTGAGTCGAGAAAGCCTGAGCGGCAGAACAAGGCTTGCCAGTGAAGTGACAACGGCAGAGCATCCGCCGACGATACTGTCCCTACGAACAGACCAGGAAGCTTTGACTGATTGGTTCTAAGCGCATTTTCCACGATGGTCGCAGAGGCTGTGTCAATTGGCCGTTGCACGACCCGGCGCTTAATGCCCGCTTTAACCTCCCGATAATAGCACTGAATCACACACTTACCAGTGGAGGCAGAAAGTACGTCAACCTGTTTGAACTTGATGCTTCGAGCACATATACGGAGTAGCTATACTGTTAGTGCTTGTTGAGCGGCACATTGCGATTGTATCAACGTACATGAAGAGATACTCGTCTCGCGCATGATCCAAAACCTTTTCCTCGTCAATATCGATCCTCTTGAACGCAATATAGCAAGAGAAAATATGGTATAGCCTGTTGTTCACGGGCGACAGGGTAGGAAGCAACGGTTATGGTTGTGGGTTTGCAAAGGTGTGGCTGTATCACACACCCGAAACACCAACCGGAAGAAACCAAATGCGCTTCCCGATGTGAGTGCACTCTGGGGGAGAGTGCGGATAGAGATGGCGCAGTGTTGGCCGTTGTGCTGCTATACTTGGCATGCATAAACATGCATGCAACTTTGGGAATGTGGAGTAATGAGAAATGAGAAATCCCAGTACCTTACTCAACGAGTTACTCAGAAGCGATATCAAGGATGTGATGAGAAGTATGTTCGTCAGAGTCACAAAGATCAGCTAGCGTGTATATCAGCAGACTGTAAAGTAATGCATTCCAAATAGTTGCCTCACCATAACGGGAGGACCGAAGAACGGCGAGCTATGCAGGGTTAGCGAACCATCAACACTACTGTTCGGCGAAGTACGTACATCTCTTCGGCGACATCTGCAGACGGCTGTTGTCAGTCACTAGTCATGAGGCGGTGAATGCCTTCTTGGTCGTTGTCTGGGATTTGACTCACCGAATCCTAGGTAACTAGAACTGGAGGAGCATTAGCTGGTGAGGTAGCAGCAGCAACGTCGGTTCGCTTACCCGAAGAAGACCTTAATCAGGATCCAACTCTACAATGTACGAGTCAATAAATTGCACATTGGTAATCTTGATGGAACAACTTGCCATTTGCTTGGGGTTGAATCTGCTGTCACGAGCTAGCAGTACGAAAGTAGTCAAGAAACCTGTTTTTGGTAAGCATTGAACAAGACTGCTTCACTATCGAATGGCTTACCTAGATACAAGATTACTACAAGGGATAAAAACTTGACGAAATCCTTGGTCATCTCCTTGAGGCATGGGATGAGGGTTCCAAAGTAACGATTGAGACTCAAGAGAGCAAAGATGCGCGGCACAAGGAAAAGAGCCTCTAGTCCGAGTACGTCGTATGCGAGATCGATGGTTGCAGCGTTGGACGTAGTCAATCCAACGATCCTCATAATGCAGAACACTAAGCCGACGACAACGATGCTGATGTCCCAAGTCCACCAGAAGTCCGAGGCGTAGAAGGAAGTCTGCCCCGCATCAAGCCAGTCGGCAAATTCGTCGTATGCGAAGCTGGCAATCCATACGTAAAGCAGTATCTCAGGGACGGTGACCCTGGTGTTGTTGCGCTGCACCAGCACTGCGTAGTATAGTCCTAAGAATGCCGCAAAGAACAGTGTCTCGAATATTTTCAGATATAGTGGGACGCGTAGACGTGAGAATGGATCGGCCTGTTTCCGATTATATTTCTTCGGTTTCTTCTCCGAGTGTAGATTGAGGGTCTCCCAAAACACGATGTCGCCCTTCCACAAGCCGTTGATGATCTTCTGGACTGGTCTTTGTGATAGGAACTTTTTCGCACCGGATACAGTCGCAAGTTCCAGCGCACTTAGGTTCTCGCATCGCGACATCAATGAGCCGAAGCGAGATCTGGAAGAGTCTGTGTGCCCAAAATAATCGCCATTGGATACTGGCAGCAGAGGCGACCGCTCGTCCGCATGTGGGACATCGCGTCCGTCTTCGTACGTATGATGGTGGCTCGATGCATCTGGAGTGTTCGGGGCTGTTGCAGGCGGGAGTTCTACTAGTAAAGACTCGATAATATCTGCCTCTTTCAGATTCGTCAAGAACTGCCAGGCGACGAATTCGCATGCATAGCCTCGCGCCTCATTTACACCAGGTTCGTCGCTGGCTTCCTCCAAGGCTGAGAAATGCCCTTTGAGGGCGCTTGAGGCTGGTCAGCTCTTATCACTCGTTGGAGTTCCATTGATCTGGTATGGGTTGCTTCGACGTACAGGAGAGCTGACACGAGGGCAGGGTGATCGACTTGGGTAGACAAATATAGGATGAGAGGCTGAAGGGCCTTTCCCTCTTGCGATCTACGCAAGTCTTCGAAAGTATGCGGCGTTTTGATAGTATGCTCAAAAAATCTGAACTCGGGTCAGGTTGCTGAATGGCGCATTCACATGCATGAACTGACTGGCACAGCTTGTCCGCCAAGTCTCCGAAGCACTCGTCACCGACTATCTCAGGCACACCAGTCTCATCTGCAGGCCATCTTGGCGTGGACGGGATTGACATGGTCGAATATCCTCTGGGTAGCTTGCAATTGAGAGAGTCCTGTGTCATAGGGCCTCTGCAAAGATTCGCGACGCGTCCGCGGTGGGGACGCGGATGTACCCGCAATGGTCATAGCTTTCTTGGCAGCCATCACTCTTTCCCTTTGCTTTTGATCTCGCTTGCTCACACGACAGACTTTTGATGTTCGTATGAATATCATGCGTCTTCGGCTGCACCCTCCTGTACTCTCACTGGCTCATGCGTGAACGACCATCCTATCTACCATGGCCCATAACGCTGACTTTGTTGGCAATCGTTTGCGACTGAGCGTCTTTCTTCAGTGTATGGAACATGGGGAAATGCCCACCCGCCCGTCACGCTTCAGGCGATCTACTCAGATAATTGCCGGACCGGCCAGGTCTCTTGCTTCGCTGTCCCCTCGAATCAATTGTGACGTACCAACCCCAGAAGCGTATAATGGACCGCTAGTGTTGACCTCCAAAGCATCGATGGAGACAACGGCCATCATGTCCGATGTGGCCGAAGAGGCTGCGACAGACGATGAACCATTGGAAAACAATGTCAACAAAGAAAGAGAGAAAACCTCGGAAGATTCTATCCCAACTACCGTTGCGGAAGAAACAACAAGAAATAACAAAGGGCTATCGAGCAATCCGAAAAGGCGTCTACCAGTGAATGAGCTCGCCTTGTTGCGGACTACAACACTTGATGGACTGCCCACGCCGGTTGTAGGGATGCTTCGCGGATGCCACTAGAACAATGTTGTGACTAGCTAACGCTACTTGACCTCAGGATGCCGCTGTCAACTTTACTACCCCCATCGCTGTAATCGATCCTATCGAAGAGAGTCAAATGCGTTCCGCAGGTAGATTGAGTGATGAAGTAATTCAGCTTTATCTTAACGCTAAAACTGCTGACAATTGCACAGACTTCTCGCAGCTTGATCGTCACTGAACGCCGACCATCACATCGTATAGTTCACTTGTCGAACATCGTCCGCTCACCAAATGCCATGATCTCAAAAAGTCCCGCAAAGCTCTTTAAGGGTTCCTCACCACAATCCAATGGCAAACCACGATATGATTCAGGCTACCGAAATGCTCATGACGGGTTTGTGGGTTCTGAACTGCAGCTCAGTTCCGCAAAAAGATCAAGCCGCCGAGGAAGAGCAATTCCGACCAAGCGAAACAAGCCTAGCATCATGCGCAAGTTAGCTCTAGAAGCTAGGCCCTTGTCTGTATCCCCAGACTATCCCGTGGCTATCTCTAGTGTTTTGAAGGTGGAAAGGACAACAAACCGCGATACTCCGCATCCTCCGTCCAAGTCTGGAGATATTCAGCCCAATCCAGGGGTTGGATGATTGGTTTTGACGAGGACACGGAGCGCTCTGGAGCCTGATGTAGTAGTCGAGCGAATCCCGAACCGAGCGATATTGTGATGCTATGTCAGCTCTCTGATCTGGCGAGTTCGAGTTGATGCAGAATCATTGCGCATTCGGGGGCTGAGACGATGGAAGCTACGCTACATATCAAGAGAACTGTGATACTGATGATGCTGACAAGACTGGCTATGCCTCTGCTAATATAAGTCCTACTTTTGATGGCGGCGCCAGCTTTTTGCGTCCTGCAGTTCAGCATTCGGAAGCCTAAAGTGAGATCGCGATCAATGACCAATAGCTTCAGTCTCGTGACGAGCCACAAGGACGAGAAGTCCAGTCTGACTATCTTTCGGTATGTAGAGGCAGCAAAATGCAATAGGAGGACTGACTCAGGATAGACAAGACAGGAATGCGAGCAGCCAAAGGCCATCGATTAGTTCGCTGTCCAGCCTGAAACATCTTCATGGTTGATCCGCAACGTCACCTATAGCACTACTACAGACCCGCGCCCCAAGCGCTGGGCCGACATCGTCGACGTACGTCGATAATTCTTATGAACACCCAAAACAATAATAATAGAGCATATCAACGATCATAACCTAGTATTTCTAACTTCCCAAGGTGGATACATCCAACGCTCCATTGGCATGTGATTGTGCAAGAGCATTGTGCTTGATCATGGAAGCTAGCCGGTGACTTTCTCAGAGTGTGGATCTAACACCATACATAATATCTAAACTACAAATTGACGGCATAGTGCAGATCGCAGTTTGGGATTACTCGAAAATAATACAACATAGGCAGGGCTGTCGTGGTGAGGAAATGCTGGATGCCTGATATAGTTCTAGCGGCAACCCCAAAATAGCGCAGCGATCGGTGTTCCAGCCTCGCGATTCAGACACTAACATCAAACACCACACTACTGTTTGAACGCATGGGCAAAACACAGTACAAATGTTTTGTTGGTGTGTTGACATGAGTGGGGTGGTGGCTGCTATGGTGCGGTGTGATATATATGGAGAGCTTTGTGCCTCGCTGCGCGAAGGTTTCTGTACCGCTTCGACGTCCTGGTATCTTGACTATTGACTAGTCTTCTTGCCCGGTTCCATTGTCCTGCTATCTGTCTGAGGAGCACATTCGGTTCAATAAGGCGAGTTGATCATCGCTCATCAGTAACATGGCATCGCAGGGCGGCATGCCTCCTTCCATGGTGAGTCCACACTACTACATAAACTGGCCGTATGAGGTCAGGACATAGATGAAAACAAGTCGCTCACATGGCAAAGGCAGCACAAGGACCTCCATATCCTCCCATGGTATGGCCATCAGGCGGTCCTCCGATCAAGCGCATCGACATTCCAGCTCAAACAATTTTCATGTTCTTCTTCATGATTGGAGCGGGGGTACACATGAAAATATTCCGGAAAAATAGAGCACGAGGACATAAATTTCTGGCAAACATCTTCATCTTCGGTAGGTCTTGTTGTAAGTTAGGAGGGATTGGAGACTGACTCTTTGGAAGGCTTTTGCATGGAGCGCATACTCACATCGATACTACGACTCGCATCAGTTTCGAACCCAACGAACGTTCGACTTGCCATCGCTGCACAAATCTTCGTCTCCGCAGGTGTTCTCATCCTATTCGTCATCAATATCGTTTTCGCAATACGTCTAGTGAGATCGACGCATCCATCAGTGGGCTGGCATCCTGCTTTTGGAATCGCATTCAAGGTCCTTTACGTATTGATTGGTCTAACACTTGTCGCTGTCATTACGGCCACCGTCCAGAGCTTCTATACCCTCAATCCAAACACTCGAGCTACCGACCGCAGCTTTCAGCAATACGGCGCAACATTTCTTGCAATCGTCGCGATACTGCCTTTACCGATTACGATGCTCACACTGCTCATTCCCTACTCACCACTTGACCGCTTCGGCATCGGCCGTCTCCGTACAAAAGTCATAGTTCTACTGATTAGCACAACGCTCCTCTCCATTGGCGCATGGTTTCGCTGTGGCGTTACCTTCCAAGCACCAGTTCCACGGTCGCAACCTCTACCAGGATATCTCGGCAAGGCACCATTCTACATCTTCAACTTTCTCGTCGAAATCCAGACTGTGCTCATGTATGCCATACTTCGCATAGATCTCCGCTGGCACGTTCCTGATGGCGCAAAGGGGCCAGGTAGCTATGCTAGACCACAGATGCACGACGTGGAAATGCAAGATTCGAGACCTACATCCTCGGATAGTGTACAAGACGATAAGAGATCCCTGAAGACTATCAGCGAGGAAGAAGAGAAAGAAATCAATGACGAGAAGGTTGAAGAGCTCGCTGCACCCAGGATCATAGAGATTGACCTTGGAAACTCTTCACGTAGCTCGCTCGCGCCGCCAGACATGGAGGTACGCAGGAGTTCAGCCCGTAGCTCTCTTGTACCACCAAAAGCGACAGACAGGTCAGCACGTAGCTCTGTCATCTCTCAACGCCTGTCTTCTTTCATCAGCAAATCCACCAGTACACTGGCCACGTTTGCAACGGCAGAACAGAAGCAGCGATGGCGCGAAAGCGAAGAGGGAAGAATAATTAGGAGATTGGGTGGACCATGGCAGCAACTCCCTAGTCCTACTGAGTCGGCTTTTAGCATCAGCAGGAGTCCGACGAGGAGCGTTTTTAGTCGTACTACAGGAGACGAACTGGAACCACCTCAACCAGCATACCACCAACGGAGCGGTAGCGGTGCGCCCAGCATACCAGATGTTGTTAGCGAGGGCGGATGGACGCCGAGAATCGAGTGGGAATTCCGCAGTCCCAGACGTTTTCTCAGCTTGAAGAAGAGGAGTATGATCGGTTTGCAGCTTCCTAAATGAGCCCATAAATACGTATATGGGGTTGTGTGATGAGGTGTTTACAGCGAAGGCGTTTTTGGGATAAAAAGGTATAATTCAACTGCTGGGCAGCAAAGCTCTTTCCTTGTGTTCAACATACCCCATCTCTTTCTGGTATGGAGACGATGGTCGTCTACATAGACTTTGCGTCATTCTTCTTTTTTCTCTGTACATGTACGATAGCAGCGGCATTACCAACGATATACCAAGCATTTCTTTGCCTCATTAGGCTAGACATACATACCAGGACCTCATCGGTCTAGATCTCCGGCTCGCCTCTACATCAACAACCACATTTCGTGCCGTGAGCTGATCTAGGATCTGCAACTAATTTAGTGCCGCGGCTCCCCTCCCAGCAACCCGGGGACCGTACCTGAAAATAAGATTTCAAAACAAATCAATAGCGCGAAACGAACATGAATGTGCCTCAGGGAACGCTTGGTCTGCTGTCACTTGTTTGAAGAGGGGGTAGAGTCGCGCTAGTGCGTTAGCTTTAGCAGTTTGCATCGTTTGGTGTTTTGTCTTGAGGACTGAATGCCTGGTCAAGGGAAGAAAGGTCTTTGGATAGATGCTGGTGGCCCGTCAACGTTGAAGCCATCATAGTCGATCGGGAAATTGCAGGCATTCCATAGCGTAAATTCATTATTGCTTCGACGTTTTTATGCCTGCTTCCCTTCTTCGTCAACAATTCAAGCAAAAACCCCTCACATAGGAATCCTCCTCATCTCCTCTAAACTCCAGTATTTTCTCATATTTTCCGCTTCCAGCTGCTTAACCTCGTCGTCCAGATGTTGCCACAATACATCCCCAAATGAATCCAGGATCTCCTTCAACTCACCCAATCGCAGTTCCCTCTCCCCACTCTCACAATCTTCTAGATACTTTTCCAGCTTATCGAGACCCTTGTGGATCTGCTTGTGCTGTGTAAGAAGCTCGAGTTCCTTTTTGAAAGCGGGCATCTTTTTGGCTAGTACAGGGAAGATGTGTTGTTCTTCTATCGTATGATGCACCGTGAGGTGATCTATCATGCAGACTGTTAGATGACTTTACTCTAGAGCTTTGCAGTCTGGTGCTTACGGCAAAATTGCTGGCCTGTGCTAATGAACTGGCGGATAGACATGTTCTTGGGCCTTTTCTGTGCCTCACAAGCCCCATAGAGAACTTTCCAGGTCGCACGGAAGTTATCGTGGAAATAGTTCATATGTTCGGCCATCCTGTTGTACTGGCGAAACTCGGATGGCGTGAGTTTGGGTAGAGCCTTCTCTTCCTTGGTCGCATGTGAAGAGTTCAAATCGTTGACTACAGGAGGGGCTGGCGCAGTAGGGCCATCATCTCCTGAGATAGTTGCCATGTTTGCGGGAGGAATCGATTGATGCAGTTTAGGGCTGGTCGTGAAGTGATGCCTTCCAAACCGTGCCAGAGCTGATCGAGCTGGAAGCCTGATGACGGATGCCAAGAATTGAACACGCTTCATACGCTGAGAAAGAAAATCTAGAACTGCGCTTGAAAAGGTTAAGATGATATTATTTGGGGTATCTATGTTTTGCATGTAGCGCAACCTTGGAAAGCGATTAGCCAGTCGCGGCTGACGAATTTTGCCTTAGCAAGCAGCCAGCGGCCGGCAGTTGGACTTTCCGATGCCGGTCAAAACGCGTTGCACGCGGTCACGTGCACGCGCCATTACCAACCACGACATGCAGTCATGCTTCACTTGTTCCGCGTTTTGGCAAACTTCTCGTGCCATTTCCGTGCCGATGGCTTCATGGCTGCTACCGAATTGTCCGCAATAGATGTTGTGGAGGCTTTGCTCTTTGCCCTTATAGTCGTATCGGAGGGGAAGTCGTAGACGCCCTCGATGGCACTAAGTTGTGCGTCCTTGCGCCATACTTCAGGCAGGCGGTCCTCCCACGTGTCGGTAAAGTCAGCGATGAGGAAGTCGCTACCGTGCTTGGCTTCTAGCAACGTCCTGCCCGTAAAGACGACCGTCTTTGCTCTGTCCAGACATGACCATGGCCCGTTGTTGTTGGAATCTTCTGTGGATAGATGTGCCAACACAGCCTCTATGAGGCCTGGCGGATGTCCCTCTTCAGCTGCAGCCTTGATAATGTCGTTGGTCAGGAACTGCGCGTCCAGCTTGATGCCTTCCGCCAGCGCAGCAGCGTTGATGGATCTCCACACTTGTGAGAGGGCGTTGGGCGAAGGTTGGTAAGATCCACCATCCGCCTCGAATGCCATCAGCTCATTCCATGCTGCCTGACATTCTCCATTCGACACGGGCAGATCGTTATATATGCTGGTCTTGCTCCTGCTGTTGCTGGTCGCATCGACGTCTCCGGCAACAATGTCGTATATCGGCAGCATCTCCCTCAGAAGGGCAGCAGCAGACGCAGTCGATGTGTAGGCCTCGAGTGTCGTGGTACACAGGGCAATGGCGCGTGTGGCAGGGGTGGGTATCTCATTGCCAGGGGCTTCGAGGGCAGGCTGGGTCAGGAAGAGCGAGTTGGACGTCTGGACCTGGCGCAGCTGGAAAGATTTGTTCGGCGTACAAAGTACTGCATATGCAGGCTTCGCGTTGGACGTGCCAGGAGCGGCGGACTGGGCTTGAGATTTGATAGAAAGCCTGGCGTCTGCAGTAAGAAGGGTATCCGCATAGGAACGACAGGTCAGCGCACCTACAGCGGGGGGTTGGGCGCGTCTATCAGCTCAACAATTTCCGGGGGCAGCTCGAGCAGGCGGAAATGCTGCTGTTGGTGTGCTATGGAGAAGGGCACACCGCCTTCATCTTGCTGCGTGGCCATGTCTTGGTTGACAGCACCACTCCGAAATCAAATTGCTGACACTCTTGAAAGCCGACAGTACCTCATCTCATGACGGCAGCTGCTATGACGACGATGCTTTTTTGTTTGTGGACACTGCGGGGTGCGGCGATGTGCAACTAGCAGGCAGACGGCTCGGACGATAAGCTGCAAGGGCAGCATTTGCCAGCCAAAAATACTTGTCATTGCGGCCGCTTGCTGGGAACCCCATGCTTCTGCTTGTCGCACCTGTGGCAGACAGTGGCACCTTGGTTATTCGCGCTGCAGCTTCCCACCCGCGCTTGGTCGCAGCCGCATGACCGCTTTCTTGGTTCGGGCTTCAACAAGATCCATGGGATTTGTTGTTGTTTAGACCCGGAACGCGCCTCCACTGTCCCTTCTCTACCCCAATGGCTTCCTAGCACGACGCCGACGACAACACGACAACACGACAACAACACCGCCCTCGCCTTCTGCTTCTGCTTGTGCGGCTGCGCCATGCAACCACTGTACTAATTGTCCTCTTCACCCGTCTGATTACTAGTTGCCAAATCCGTCACTCGTTTCCGCGCAATTGGCACCATGGTTGTAATCAACCCCGAGCCCGCCGCCCTCTCCGCAGAGGATCTGTCGCTCTTCTACACGACAGACGAGCTGCTCTCTGATTCCCCCGTGCTCATCTTCTACGGACCGACGGCCACCTCCACACAGGCGACACATTCGCGCATCCAGACCCACGTCTTTACACCAGCCGGCCTCCAGAGCTTCGCCCGCCTGATTATTTCGCCGACGGCTACCTACTACAATGCCGTTACATGTCTGCCGCGCGAGGAACAGGGCGACGAGATTTGTCGCGGTCTCGCCTTCAGCCTGTACAAGTACTTCCTCGAGTTGCCCTCGGAGATCAAGAGCGCTTGGGAGAAGCGATACAACTCCTCAGACAACCTGCCCATGGCCCCCAGGCTGTTCTCCGAGGCGCACGCCGCCATCGTCGCTGCCAGGATGATCAAGGTTGAGAATGTCGCAGATGTCATAGTAGACGTGCGCCATGCTTTGGGCGAGCAGACGCTGTCCTGGATAGATTTGGATGTAGTCCTACCACAGGGAAGCATCCAGAAGCTGGAAACACGCGAGTCGGGCCAATTTGAAGACCTTGAAGAAGATCTGGTCAAACAGCGGTACGGACAGTACGCACCCGTCGTCAAGCTATTTGGAGATGCCGCCTTCCTCCCCACATCTAGACTCCGCCGCGCGCCCTCGAAACCAACCGCCCTCAACCGGTCACAGTCCTTCTCAAGGAAACAAAAAGAGACTCTTCGGCGAGAGATGTGTGAGCTTTTGGACACGGAGGAAAATTATGTGAGCAAGCTGGACGAGCTGGTCCACACTGTAGCGGTCGAATTCCGAGAGAAGGCGAAGCAAAGGTCAGGCTCGAGTTCTAGCCCCACCGAACAGGCGCTACGAGGCTTGTTCCCTCCTAGTCTTGACAAGATACTCGAAGTCAACTCCAAATTCCTGGACGCCATACGTATCATCTTAGAGGAGTCCGAGAACGGGGCGATCGAGGATATCGAGACAGCAACAGACGACGTCTATATCGCACCGTTGCGGGGACAGAAGGACGCGCCAGATGTCACTGGAGCTGCAGCTGTTGCCAGAGCTCTTCTTGAGTGGCTACCACAGTTCGCCGACTGTTACACCGACTACATGGCTGCTCATGGTGACTTCTCACAGCTGCTAAAGCACTTCACAAAAGAACCAGCCTCCAGCTTCTCAAAAAGGGTCTACGAGACGGGCGAGCAACGACTTACATCCATGCTTATCGAGCCGGTTCAACGCCTACCGCGATACAATCTGTACATTGACAACATCATCAAACAACTGCCAGTTAGACATCCTGCAATCAGGTTGTTCTTGAAGGCGAGGGACATGATCTCGGATATATGCACAAGAGAGGGTCCTACAGCAGCGCAAATCAGAGTGTTTGATCGCTTGCGTAAGATGGTCAGTTCATGGCCATCCGGATTCAATCCTAAAGGGCGGCTCATCTCAGTCATTGATTGTGTGGAGCTGTCTCCGCCATACCATGGTGAACTGTCTGGACCTGCTACGGTTTCCGGTATCATGATAATCTTTACAGATTTCTTAGTGCTTCTTCAGAAGTCGGAGGACAGCTCGATCAATGCACGTGGCTTGCTCGCTGAGTTAGATAACCCCAAGTTCGCCGAATCCTATGATGGTATTACGGAACTCTCTTTCCACCAATATCTGGGTCTCAGCGATATCTTCGTCAGTGAGCACTCGGAGGGAAATATCCTACAACTAATATCCTCTGTGCCACTCGCCAATCAACCCGGACGTCCAAGAAGTCGAGAACGTCAAAAGCTTGGCATTCGCATGTTCTACCTGCAAGGCACCTATGAGGGTAAAGGGCACAAGGTCACCGAAGAACTTACCAAAGCTCGCGTTGAAGGCAGGTTTTCGGAAGCGGAGCGGGATGGCGGCAAATGGGACGTCCGAAACTTGCCAGGCGATCTGAGCTTCTTTTCATCTGTGGCTGAGGAGACTGGTGGTCAGTATGTTGAAGGTCGAAGAGAACCTGCGAGAGTACAAATTCTAGTCGAAGGGTCAAAGTTCACCAAGCCCATTTCAGTGGGAGACAATGGTGTCGAGCTTACCGTCACAATTACCATGCTCGGAGACGGACTCTACCTGCTAGAGTCAAATGGCGCCAACGGCTACACGGCACGCGACAAACTTACTGACCAAGAGTTTCGACCTGTCCTCACGAAGCGACTTGCCAACTACTTCCAAATGCGCAACAGTGTTAAGAATCATGTGCTAGCCGAGGCGTATCTCTTGCGGAACAAGCAAATACTCAAGTCACTTGCCTTGGAGATGTATGAGGCAGAACAACAAACAGGTAGCAAGAGCCGGCCACACTCTCCAGTAAAGATGCTGTCTAGTTTCTTTGGCGGTAGCGTGGGTAACTTCAGTGGCAGCATAAATCGTGAAGGAGGAGGTTCCCGCAGACTTCAGCGAAATGCTCATACTATGGGAGAGATACCACGTATGGCGCCTCCTGTTCAACTTGGCTCAACCCGTACGTACAGTCATGACGGGGACATGTCACGCCCTACTTCGTCCAGCACTACGAAGAGCATTACTTTCAACGGTACCGCGCCGACTGATCCCTTCGCGAAGCTCGAGGATACCTTGGCCAACCTGACTCTAGCATTGCACGCACGCAAAGGCAACATTGTTGGACGTTCCGTCCGCGCTAGAGCTGTCGCAGATGAACTTGTTGTCAATGAGCTGTATAACACACTCCTGGAAAACCCAACTAACCTTGAACTTGCAGGACAATCCTCGGTGGATGTCTTGTTCGCAGTGTTTGAGAAGTTCTTGAGCGTTGCTTGGAAAGAGAGAATGGGCCCTGTGCTGTCGCATGCCACGTTGGTCTCTTTACAGATGCGATCTGACAGTATGCCACCTGATGAGTTCGAGGAGTTTTTCAAATACACCTTTGATCAATTCCAACCTCCCAATCAGCGGGCATTCCGGGCAGTCATCAATCTCTTGGCGGAGCTGCTGGATGGTACTAGCAATGATGGAGATCGAGGTATCCTCACTGCAGCATTTGCCGAGATGCTAGTGCCTGCAGGCAATGCAAACGATTTCATATCTCTTATGGATCGCTTGGTCCAGGACATCGATGCACTATTCCCGGCTGAGACACCTGGTTTCAATACCCCAAACTGGGGCTCCATGGACTCCAAGAGTCGATATGCAGCCGCGGGCTCGCTCAACTCCAACACGTCATTGAGGAGGCGTTTTGGATTTGGCACTTTGGAGCGAGAGAACAGCAAGTCGGAAAAGGAGTCCAAGGTAGGCTCGCTCTGGCGCTCTCTTAGCAAGAACAGCCACGGAACAGACCTCCAACCACCCAGCATGGGAAGGTCTGGTCCTGGGCACCTTGCTCGTTCTAACTCAATAGACGCTGCTGCTCGCCTGTCGCCGAAGCGTCCGTCTTCTCGCGATCGTCCAACTGTTCTTGGCGCATTCACGTTTGAGAACGCGAACTCAAATCCGAATCCAAGCTCAAACACTAACGGCCGAGGATTCGTGGGCAATCTTGGGACTATTGGAGAGGTACCTCCCACTGTTGGGCCTCCCCGCAAGAAGCGCCGTTCTTCTTTGAGTGATCTCAAGACACTGCAGGATGCTGACGATGTGCCCGCGTGGTCCCCACAGACTCCTCGCAAAGTTGATCCTTCATTACGCCATGAGAATCGGCAAATCAGTGACTCCCCCTTGGCTCCTGCAGCCGCTACGATGGCGCTCCACAAGCACACATCGTCGATACCGACGCCTACGCGACTCGGTTCACCATTGCGGGTAGACAGACCGGATAAGAAAGAGAACGTACCTGCTGTCGGGACCGAGCGTCCAGCCCACGTAAGGGGCAAATCGGTTACCATGAAGCCGGATGTCATGGATGAAGTAACAATCAAGTCGAACAGTCCTACGAAAAAGCGAAGCGAGACTATCTCTGGAATACCTAATCCTCTGAACCTTCCAAACAATTCGAGTATCCCAAACCTAAGGCCGACTACCAGTGCTGGTCTGCACGAGCGTAACGGGTCTGGTAACGCTGTCAAGCTACCACCTTCGACGCCAAGATCCCCAACCAAACCGAGCACTCCCTTGACAGGAAACTCTCCAAAGAAATTGAGAATGCAATCGCCGCAAAAGCTGCGCGAACGGCTGCAAACTCAGCAACGCGATATAGACACAGCTTCGCAAGCTCTGCAGAACGAGCTGAGTGCCATCGGTCAGGAGCTGAGTGCTAGAAGTACCCCACGCCTGACGACTCAGAGCTCGGCTCCGTCATTGATAACAGGAGGCACGCCTTCAAGGTCAGCTGAACACCGCATTGCCACGCTGGAGAAGCTCAAAGCCACGTTGGACACTCTATCTGCACGTACATCAGGAATATCAAACGATGTTACTTCGTCACTACAAGTTTCGGAAGCACGATGCAAGCACCTAGACCAGTTATACCGTGACGTCAATGCCGAGAACGAAGCATTATACGCGCGCTTCAACGAAGAACTGGAGAAGGTGACAAGCAGCGCTCGCAAAGGAAGGGCTAGCGAAGAAGTAGAGCGACGATTGAAAACGAGCGAAGAAGAGCTTGCGCGCTTGCGAAAAGAAAACGCACGATTGAAGAGGGAGAATGCTGGTTTGAAGGCGCAAATCAGAGAGTGAGTGGTCATTAGGACTGCTCTACTATGTTTCAATCACACTGGTGTGTCAGGCGGGATCTCGATGTTGACCCAAGTCGTACAGTCTGCTCAGCGTAATTAATACCACAGCGGGACAGTCCCCCAAAGCTTCTAGACACGAGTAATATGGCTGACATGGGCGCGGGTTCAGCATTTGATGATACATGGCTGCATCACGGCCGTCTTGATGGCCAAATTCTCTTCGCTTCTTTTTTTCGAAATTTCGGACTGGCTTATGATGACATGACATGGCGTTGTGTGGTTGAGATGCCACTTTTAGAGCAATATACCATCTGCTTTTTCTTTGCCTAAACAATACGTTGCTCGGTGCTGTAAGCTTGACACGGACATGCTATGCTTGTTTGCACGTAGAGGTGTGTTGGTGGCCTCGGGAGAAAGCCAATAGCTTCCCCAGGCCGGCAGCCTCGCCAAGAAACATGGCAGCCTCAACCCCGCTAGTTTATGCATGTGTTGGCAGGGCTTTGCAGATAACACCGACCCGGGGGAGTAATGCCGCGGCTGCATACCTGCATGCTGCAGGCTGGCCTCGGACGGAAGGTGCAAAGGGTCAGAGTGGCCGCCTACTGCCTGTGTGAGTAGTGTAGTCAGGGCGAAGAGGACATGTGTTTCATCAGGTGTACAGTTAGGCTATTAATGGAGACTGATGTGCTCCCACGGTGCGCTAGAAGCAAAGTCAACGTTTCGCGCTCGATCGGGACAGTTTCCGCTAGGTCGGAACTGGGAGTGCTGGACGACGATCGCGGACCAGTCTCGTCGAGCTTGTGATTACTGTTCGTCATCTTCACCTTCGATCAAAGGCCCAGGTCAATTGTGTGCGTCCATGGCAGAGCGCGCGTGTTAAGAGACGTGATCCCAGAACCCTCATCCGGCCGCCAACTTGCCCAGACGTCTTTATCGTCACTCCTAGTCCACCCCGGCCGGAAACCGGATCCGTGGACCGCGCTCGCCCAAACCAACGACGAAACGTCGGCGCTCCACTGCGGTTGACCCTTTCCCTTCACCTTTTGGAAGCCTCCACGACGGAGAGCGGCAATGACTCTCCATACTGCCTCGACGACTGAGTGCTCCCGCGCCTGCGACCGTCTTCTAACCCGACCTACATCACAACGCGCGTCCTATCCCTTGCTGGCCTCACCCACCCGCACGCTACAGGTTGGCTAATATATATCATCCAAAGACATGGCCTGGTTCATGAGAGGAGTCCAGAGTGCCGTCTTCCACTATGCCTCGTGCGCACCCTGCACCGGCTACTCAGACGGCAGAAAGAGGAGGAAAGCAGCAAAGGCCGCGCGCAAAGTGAGGGAGAAGCTGGAGCTGGAGCAGCCCGACGCATACCATCATCCCGAGCCGACTGGTACCAACATATACTGGCAAGAGGAAATCGCCATGGGCCCAGGGCCACCACCACGAAGAGCGCGGAGGACCAACACGGCAACTACAGGCAGCACGAGGGGTATGCCGACACGGGGAACACAGAGCTCGGCTTTGAGCAATGGTGGGAGCAGCATCGACGTCGACCACGCCGGCAATACCCGCCTCAGTGACGATACTCTCGACGACGACGACGAGACGTGGAACCACAAGCGATACCAGAGGGAAGACGAGGACCTATGGGGCCACGACGAGCCTTCAATCAATCTCGAACAAACCATGACTGGCTCTTCCGTCGGAGGTGCGGGTTATCAAATACGGAGGCCTGTTACTTCAACATCTGGAAGCTACTATACCGCGCGCGCACCACCAGTCAACGATCTGCACCCTCCCGTCGTCAGTCTTCCATCTCCCGACCCCATTGATAACCGATGGATGCTCCAACCACCACCCAAAGCTAGTGTCATGGCTGGCAAAGAACGAGCGTCCAACAGGAGTCGGAGTGGCAGTGGCGCAAGTAGCCGCGTAGAATTGAGCTTGGGTCGCCAGGTCAGCACAAGGCAATTGATGCACAAGTTGGAGCGAGGCGAGACGCCTGAGGCTCGATCAGCATCACCAAATGGTTCGTATTTCAACCCATCACGGTGCAGGACGCCACAAGCTCGACCGCCCTCTGCCACCAGCAGCGCTCGTCGGAGAAAGAGAAGAGACACAGCCATGGCTCGCGACCTGGCTATGGCGCGAACCGATACTGTGAGCACTCAGCATTCGTCCGGTGAATCCAGTGATACCATCATCCGAGGCAACTCCGCACCTCGCACCGCAGCCATTCCGGACGTTAAAGTAATTCGCGTCCGCCAGAGCCGTCCTGCCCTCTCCACAGTCTTGTCCAGCAATTCAGGTAGGAACGATACGCCAGTCACAGCATCAGTTCGCAACGGTAGCGATGAGAACGCTCTGCGCATGCCTGAGAAGCCCAGTCCAGCGCACCACCGCTTCACAACCACGTCGACCCCCGACTCCATCCCCTACTACACCAAACACCGCGAACCTCTCAATTCATCCGATATATCCTCCCTTAACTGCCTTCAAGACCTCGTATCCCCACGCGCTCTACTCGATTCACACTTCGTCTCCGCACCCTTGGTAGAAGCCAAGATTCGATTACCACCTTCAGAAGAGGACATGGCCGCAAGGGCGCGACGAGAGCTATCCAACAGCGGTTTCAGCATCTCAAGCGACTGGGATGAAGAAGAAGAAGGTATCGTAAGAGTACCTTTTGACCGGAACTTTGGACCACCAGAAAAGGATCCAAGGTTTAGATGGAGTGTCGACTTTTGATCAGGTCATCCCTACCTACCTACCTACCTACCTACCTACCTACCTACCACCACCGCCATCACCATCACTCACGCACCACATTCACAAACAATATCTGGATTCTCACCACGCGCATCATCAGCGTTGGCATCTTTTTGCATAGCATCGTTCGCCGGGTCCTTCTACAGGCTTTCTTTTCCTTTGTCTTCTACTTCGTTCTAGTTTTTTCAGCGAATGATTTTTTTTTAGCGAAAACCGCATACATGCATTGCATTTTGGATAGACACGACACCTTGATGACCTACACCAAATGGCGTTTTGGGAGGGTCACGATGGCTTCAAGCATCGTTCTTAGGGCTGGCTTTCGGCATTGTTCTCACTTTTTCACTTCTTCGTCGTGGACTTTTGTATATATCGTTGCGCAGATGTGTAACCAACGAAAGGATTGAATTTATTTAGCTCCAAGGGTAGAGCTCAAGTCAGTATGCAGCTTTTCTTGCCTATCTGGTGACTCTGTTGCTCGATGAACGAGCGGGTTACATCACCGTCATTCTGATGCAGGATGCTAAGTAGTTTGACGACGTGATTGCTTGCTTACTATGCTCTCTGTCCTGTTCTAAAATCAAAAGCGCGCGCATGCTGCATGGCCTCCCATTGCGACTGATATCTTACAACTCATATTCCCACATCTATCTTGCACCCAAATCCCACAGCCTAAGCGTCTCACCCTTTCCACCCCTCTTCTTGTTACCCTTCTCCTTCCCGCCCTCGGTCAACTTCAACATACACTTTGACACTGCCGCCAAACACTCCAGCACTTCACTCATCCGCCCCGTTTCAAGTAAACACCTTTGAACCCACTCATTGCCTTTGTCCGCTACTACAACAGCAACCTCCATAGCCTTGATTGCAGGATCCTTGTTCAAAAACCAAGAGGCCGCCTGTAGAACAGAGAGGTATGCGAGTATCATATCTGGGATATACGCCTTCATCAGGTCCCAGGTTTTGTGTGTAAGGTAGTCTGGGTCGGCAGTCGAGGCTTGGGAGATGGCAGGAATGAGGGTATCGAAGACATTAGATATTGAGTCTAGAAGCGCCTTCGTGCGTTGAGTGTCAGGCTTGTGTTTGGCAGATGCGCCTTCTTTCTTGCGTTCTGCACGAATTCTGGAGACACTGTTAGTTGGTGTGCGTAGAGTGATAAAAAAGAGTGACTGACTGAATGAGAGTTTGTTCCTCTTCACGCCATTCACGGAAGAGAACCAACAGGCGAACGATCTGCTGGAGCGTGTAGTATGCCGTACTGCTCTTACGTAGGTTATCTACAATCTCCCGGTGTTGATCGGCGTCAGGCAATTGTGCCAAAGGCATAGCGGCTGCTCGTGCAGAAGTCGAGAGATTGTCGCGATGTTCGTGGAGCTGCTGCTCGTCTTGTTCGTCCGCACCTGCCGTGGTGAAATCGAAGGGATAGCCGAGCAGAGCTTCTGTTCGAGACAAGGACAGAGACTCGACGCTGAGATCGCTAATGACCTTCTCGGCAGCGGCAAGTCGACCATTGACTATAAACCATGTCAGCAAGTTTCCGAATGTCTATATCGCAAGCAACTTACGCAAGAAGATGGTTAGCGCGCTCTTTAGGTGTCCAAACGTGTTTTCGTAGTCCTTCCCTACGTAGTTGTACCATTGCACCGCATCTATGACTATTTCGTCTTGTGGGCTTATCTCAGCACCACCAAATGTCCGCTTGACACGAACACCCGGCCATAGCAGCTGCTCAGTCGGAAGAGTGATTTTCTCCAAGATGTTGTATCGCTTGATAGGATTTGTGATAACGCCATAACCCTCTTTGGTAAAGTGCGTAAACCCGCTATCCCTAGAAGCAAACGTAAAGCTCTGTGATATAACTTGAACGACGTCGATTCGATACGATTCCATGAGTGCAACAGAGTGACGTTGCTCAGAGCTATTTTTGATGTCGGGGAGGACACGTGCGAGACTGTAGGCGGCTCGTTCAGGGATGAGCTGTGCTGCATAGAGTGGTATGGTATCGAATCGTTTGGTAAGACGCAGGAACTCGATGTAGGCTGTGATGACGTTGTCCATAGCCAAGAATATTTTGTCTTGATGTGTATCCTCGAAAAGCGTGTGTAGTCCGTTGCGAAGGACAATGAAGACGTGAACCAAGATGCGGAAAGCATGTGGATCTTTCGCGAGAGTCTGATAGTGTTGTTCTGCGCGGAATGTGCGATGGTCTCCAGCAGGTATCGGGCTTCGGTCTTCTTCTAACGAGTCTGGATGTATGATGAGACTGTGTGGTCGGCCGTCCTTGTCGAACATGTCCGCAAGAGCCACACCGACCTTCAGCATCAAATCATCAGTGTCTCTGGCGATAAGTGCGCTCTGAATAAGCTTGATCGGAGAGACCGCTTGGGATGCTGTACTCTTCTGTTGCTTCAGAATTTCAATCACCTTCTCAGGTGACTTCTCCCAGTCTCCGATATTAGCGACTGCATCTTGGAAGAGAAACTTCTGAGTCAGGGATTCTGTCACTCTGCTCGGATAATTCTTCTGAAGATATGAGTCGAATCGAGAGAGCAGGAGTGCGTTGTAGTGGGCATGAAGATGGTCATCCCAAGACTTGCAGACTGCTTGTACTTGCTTCAAATCTCCACTCAGCAGACCATATACAGCACCTTCATATGGTATCCGGGCTCCTCTTGCAGCGTAGAAGCACATTCGGCGGAACAGGTATCCGACGGTCGGGCCTGCGACATTTGGTCCACCTTCTGGGTGACCTTCGTACGCTGCTCCAATACTGACGCCGCGCCACGACTCGTTCCTCTCGTAGCACCAGTCGACGATGGTCTTCCAGGGCAGTCCGCGTCGCATCATTTCGTATGCAACCATCCAGAGAGAGCGCTCATAATACTCGTCGCTCCTCTCGAGTGCGCGCTTTTGCCGTGAAGGAGCGTCTGGGTCTAGTTGCGTAACGAGGTTCGCGGTCCTGTCAGAGGTCTTGAGGTTCGAGTTTATAGGCTTCAGCGGTTGGTCTGTGTCGTCCATGCGCTTCGCCTGCTTGATCTTTGTCTTGGTCTCCAACCAGCCGCTTGTCCAGGTGTGCGCGCCCTTTCCAGAGTGCTCTTCCAGCCCTGTAATGATGGCCTTCACATCGCTGTCGCTGTCGCGGGCCGTTTGTTCTAGCCAACGAAGGACGAGCGCTTTCTCCTTGGCCTGGTCATCCTCCAACAGAAAACGATCCCAGATCTCGCTGTTCTTGCAGTATCGTGCATTTCCGCCGATCTGCTCCAATCGCGTTTGCTTCTCCGCCGCCACATCAGTGCCAGGTTCAGGGTTGTAATGCTCGATGACCAACTTCAGCAGCTTCCATGTTGCAAGCTCTGCCTGCCATTCTCGTAGCTCTCGGACGCTCGCGGAATCGGGGACGGTGCTGGACTCGATAGATGGAATGACGGATTGGGACGACTGGCCGAAGACACTCTGTCCTGCATTGTCTGACGCATCTGCCATACTCTGTATTCTCCGACGGACAGTCTTGCTGAGGCTTCCTTTGTTCTCTGCTTCCGTTGTCCGCTTCAGCTCCTTCACATGTGATTCTGCAACGTCTTGGAACTTCCCGACGAGCTTGACCGTGGTTTGATATTTGGCCTTCTTCGATTCGTTGCCGTGGACATGCCAGTGATCCACTCGCTCCGCGAACTTCTCCACCTCTTTCCCTACACGTTCGGCCATTGCACGCAGCGGTTGTAGCGGGTCGTTGGCCTTGGTGCCGTTCGTGACTCGTGACGTTCCGAAGGAAAACGCGTTGTTGTTATGAGACTACAGAGAGTGTGAGCGCCTATTGTAAAGAGATTGAAAGTATGATGGGAGGCAGTCGGAGCTCCTGATGACTTACCTGAGCTGCAGTCGGCTGCGACTGGCGCGATAGTGATCGTGAAGCCATGATGAAAGGAATGGGCGAAACTTGAAAACGACAGAAGAAACAAGATAAGGCGATCTCAGAAACACTTGACTAAGCCACGCGCCAATATCGTGTTGGGAGCTTGCGATGTTCGTGGTTGACAGCCCTAAGCCCATCACAAAACAGAAGTCGCGCCCGGACGTCGCTGCAAGTTAGCGCGTCGCCAAGACTTGACACGCTAGCGAACATAAAACTCGAAATCTGCCCTTACCCAGATTTTCTCGGTACAATGTTTTCACAGGACGGCGCCTTTAGAGTCTCGTCAGGAATCTTCAGTTTCTCATGACGCGCTCGTGCTGTCCCAGATCAACACGCTTCCTGGTAACCTGGCTGGACTCCCAAGTGGGGATTGACAGTGCGGATGATATAGGAACTGTTACATCCCATAAATTAACGACCAAACTCCTGAATGCTTTGAGAATTACTCTAGACATCATGTCGTTTGCCGGTTCTTTGGCTTCCAGGTCTCGATCTTGTCATGATCTCACGTCGGCTTGCTGGCTTCACAAAGGACTATGTTTCCCAAGACTATGTTGATTGCGATGGGCGTCATAGACGTTCGTTTCCCTTCTTACATTCATAGTAATGTGATGGCGAATGCCCGCGGTTTCATGCAGCGGATTGTTTCGTTATGAGGCCACGAATACGAAACTTCAGCACAGAGAGAACGATTGAGGTCCCGGTGTCAATCTCAGGACAAATGGTTGGGTTCTTGTTTGTTATGATACATGACTACAATTACATCGGAACCTTAGTCCTCATCCACTAGTTTGCCTCGGAAGCTATGATATACCCTTAGCACGTTGCTCCATCTTAAGCCTAAGGCGCTGTCAGAGATGCTGTGTAGGGGAACATGATTGAACAAACACTCACTTCAGCAGCGAATATTTTGGACAGCTCACGGTACTGGCATTTTCTCCTTGTTCTTTGTAGAAAGCATTACAGCATTCATACAAGGCATCGATCTGACCAAAGTCAGTTTGTGCTTAGAATTCATACATGTATGTTCATAGCTTGTTTCAGGTGTGAGATGCGTACCTCTTTT